TAGTAAATACGGAATAAACATTTTTTTTTTATATTAAATGAATTTACTCAAATAAAGGGCTCCATTAGTGTTTTATGATTTTTACCAACGTTCAGTTCTCGTATCAGTGATTAGCGTAATATTCTTACTGGAATAATGTAACTCACTATTCTATTAATCATTTCAGATCAAGAAAACCAAAATATAGATCTGCTCAGCAGAAAGGTTGTGAGTAGATTAGCTTTCGAACCCATCAAGTGCTAATGGAGGTTAACTCCTAGGATGTTTATTTACTTATTTTAATAATTTATTCGTTTCTTTTTACGAACCGCTGTAGAAGAGACATTCTCGTATCCCTATTAGACATTTTAATTTACTGTATAAGGAATGTAAATCATAACATTATTGTTTGTTTCCGCATTTAAAATACAAATTCATGTCATTTTAAATTCCGGACCTTTACAGAATCAATTATAAAATAAGACCAATCAAGTAGATTTTTGTTATAACTATTATTATATTTAAATATTGTGATAGCTAAATCAAGTGCATTAATAATATTACTAAAAATTAGAGTAATCTTTATAATGTTAAATTTAAATAAATAATAAGGATATTAAAGTAAATTTATTAAATAAATAATTGTAATAATAATTTTTTACTGTTTCAGTTACATTTAAAAATTCAACTTAATGATAGTGGAAAATTTACAATGATTTTTATAAATCAAGTACTTTTTGTGTAGGTTTAAAAATTAGAAAGAATTTTGTATATTATAACAAAAATTAGAAAGGGAGTACGTATAATTTTAGAAATATTATGAAAATAAAACTTACATTTTTGTTATTTATATGTATAAAACAACACAAAAAATCAGTTAAAAAAAATCAAATTAACTTAATAATTATATATTTATAGAAACATTTGTGAGTATTTTAGTTTTAAAATTAGAATATGAATTAAGTTATTGAACTAATTTATTGTTGAGGAACAAAAAAAAAAAAGATTTAAAAAGACATTATTTTTTTTATAAAAAAATTAAAGGGTAGTTTACCGATTATTTTAAATAAAAAAAATTTAATAATTTGATAGAATGAAATTGCTATTCTATAAAATATTTACAAAATTACGAGAGATCTATATATTCAGTAGTAAAGTTCGAATTTATAATTTTACGTAGAACAAACTTACTCGTGATTCAAAAAAGTAATTAATTCGTTTAGTCAAGAACCATGCATCCAAAATCAGCTGTATAAGTAGATATCAATTAGTCATGTATACAAAAAAGTTTATATATTTTATATGATTTGCTTGTTTGGCGGACATATATACCTACCACGTAGTAATTAAGAATCTTATTTCTTTACACACACACACACACACACACACACACATATATATATATATAGTATAAGCATGGTGATCATCGCTAGCAAATGAAAATTTGCCTTGGGATTTACAGTGTGGGTAACCAGGGGTTACATCACAAATCCATTGATTTCATTGCATTTGCTTAATTTTTCTGCCTTCTTAATTTCATCGTTTCCATCAACAACCGAAAAGAAAATCTTGCATGTTTGCAGTCCCAGAAATCAACAATCTCTGCAAATGCAATAATGCCGGCTCAATCAACAATCCCAGTCAGATCAGCTTCTTGCTCTGATCCGGGGTTGACGACGAAGATGGCTGCTCTCAAAAATCGAGTTACCACTCGCTCTGAAACCAACTCCTCCAAGTCCAATCTCTCCTACTGGCTGCGCTGGACCAACACCAACATCCTCCGCTGCCGGAGAGGCGGCGACTCTGAATTAACACAGGAATCTCTTGAAGCCCATAACCGAAAACACTCTTATGTCCCTTATGTTCTCGGCGATTTACTGGACGACGCCGGCGCAAATCACCGGTACAGAAAGTACGCCGGTAGCCCCGGACGAGACAGCCATGCCACCACTTTTGCTAGCAATTCAACTTCGTCTAGCTCCTTCTCCATTTTCATCCTCAAGATGCAGGAGTTGGGTTCTTCTTGCTTCACCTTCAAAACCAGAACTACGACTGCTGCTGTCATGGAGTCAACGAGATCAAAAAATTCACCGGTTACTCGTCATCCTCATAAGAACAGGGTTACAGCTGGTGATGGGTCGAAGTCGGGTAATGTTGATAGGAGTGAAGCTTCAGTGGGTAATGTTGGGAAGCCATTGAGGGAGAGAGTACGAGCTACGTCAGGTCAGTCTTCTGATAATCATGAGGTGCCGCCATTAGCGGCAGCTACACCCCACTAGCAGTGTGCAGAGCACAGATAATGATCTTTTCGTGGAAGATGGGAATGATGAGGATGATGGTAATAAAAAGGACTCGAGGACTGTTGAGAAGGGTAATGAAAGATTTGTATGGGCAAATAAGTATAGGCCGAAAGCTTTAGAAAATTTCATTTGTAATCGAGATAAGGCTACCCAGTTGCAGACTCTGGTTCTTTTCTTTCTTCTTCTTCTTCTTCTTCTTCTTCTTCTTATTCTTCTTTTTGGTTTACTGAAGTGGGTTTTGAATACAGATGAGCGAGGGAGGGTGTGATCATGTTATCTTCCAAGGACCTCCTGGTGTGGGGAAGCGAACCATGATCCGAGCTCTACTTCGAGCAGCTTTTGGAGCTGAGAATGTCCAGGTGATATATCTAAATATGCATATATACCTCTATATACACGACTTATTTTCTTGGGTTTTCTCAGTTAGTTTACGAAATAATTAATTAGGAAACTTTATTCTATTTTTTTGACAGACAAAGACGAAGCCGAAGACTTTTGATTTGAAGGTACGTAATCAATGATCATCATATTTCTGATAATGAATCTTCTTGGGTGATTAATTCGGGAATGGGTGCAGGGAGAAATCAGAGGTAAGATTGAGGTAAATGTGAAGGAATCTTCCCAACATGTCGAGATCAACGTATCTGATCTAAAGGGCTATGAAAAGCATGTTATCGTCGAGCTTATCAAAAAGACACATAGCAGGATCATCCCTTCCAAGCCTTCCTTAAATTCCAGTCCTGACTCTACTTGCCAAGGTATCCGTAAATATATACATATATATATATATATGTACAGGGGAAAGTTTTTACTGATCTGAGAAACTTGATTGGATCATGCAGCAATTATCCTGCGAGAGGCAGATAAGCTATCAACAGATGCACTACTGTATATAAGGTGGTTGTTAGAGAGGTACAGGGGAAGTAACAAGTTCTTCTTCTGCTGCTCTGATATTTCGAAGCTTCAGCCCATTAAATCACTCTGTACAGTCGTTCAGCTTTTCCCACCTTCCAAACAAGAGGTATGTATATATATATATATATATATATACATACAGATATTTCTATGCATGATGAATATTTGTGTGTGTATATATATATCACAATTTGTATAATGTTTAGATCATTGAAGTATTGGAGTTCATAGCCAATCAAGAAGGCATAGATTTGCCTTACCAACTAGCAGAGAAGATAGCCGAAAACTCCAAGAACAATCTCCGCCAAGCTATCCGTTCATTCGAGGCTTGCTTTTACTCATGGCAAGACTAACTATACTTGCATACAACTCAGTTTCTGTATTAATATATATAAATTACACACACACACATATATAAGATATGTTTCGCATATATAGATAGGAGGCATGTATGGTTTCTTAGGTGGTTGTAAATTGCAGTTATCCGTTCAAGGAAGATCAAGAAATTTTGACTGGGTGGGAAGAAGATATTGCAAATATTGCCAAGAACATCATTGAAGAGCAAAGCCCTAAAGAGTAAGTTGATTTCTTTTCTATTCTATTCATATATTTTACAATTACGAGTTGTTTTGCAACTAAAATTATTTGTTTGTTGATTACACTACAAAATTCGTTGCTGCAGGTTGTATGTAATCCGTGGTAAGCTTAAGAATCTTATAGAGCATGATGTCTCCCCTGAATATATCTTCAAGGTATATACATATATTAAATATACTGAATACATAATATAACATGTTTGATTGATGTGTGTACTGGATTTCACTGTGAGAATTATGTTGATTGCTGAACGAATAAATTGCAGACTCTGGTAGAAGAACTAAAGAAACATCTTGATGAGGCGATGCAGCTCCAAGTTCAAAGTCTATATGAGGATTACAACGTATGTATTTTTCCCACTCTGATTTTATATAATCTTACAGAGATTCTTTGTTTCTTATAATAAATTTTGGTATCTTGTTTTTTCACATCGATGATCTAGAGGAATAGCGGAAATATGTTTGAGAGCGAAAAAAGTACAAGCTTTGGACGTCGTAGCAATCCCATGAGAAAGAACCTTGAACATTTCTTAAGGATTGAAGGTACATTGAATTATTTCAAATTTTTATAAAAAATAATTATTTACACTCTTTAAGCATCAATAATTTTGTATAAATATACTATACAAAATCAATTAACAAAGCAATTAACTGATGTTGCTTGTCTCAGAGTTTACGGCAAAATTCATGAGCTGCTACAGCCATCAGTCACGAAAATCAAATACCTGCAACCTCAGGCCCACTATCAATGGCGATTGTGAAGGTGAAGAAGGGAAAACGATGTCCTGCTGAACCTCTCTTTGCATACCCATTACAACCTCTTCTTCTGCCCTTCAAACATTATACACATACATATACTATATATAATTCGTCTAGTCTTGTTGATTTAATTTTCAAAACAAATAAATTTATTAAATAAGAAACCATAATCAATATTGCTGTTGAACAACTAAACCAAAACTATATATACATACCCTTGAACCTCACTGGATGAGGCCTTTTGTCTTCCTGTTTTACTTTGTACAAGAAAACATATCTATGAAGGAGAGCATCTGTAAAAGTTCGTTCTTGTTGTTCAATTAGAAAGTAGTTATATACATACTGTATTAAGTTATTATATCATCCAGCTTACATCCATGATTTTAGAAGTCCCTACATCATCTGATCTTCCATGTAAATTCAGCAATACAACACTTGCAGGAGACAATCACCCCATTGTCCATGTAAGCATATTTACATATAACACTTCATGTACATAATTACTCGTGATAAATAACAGAATTATAGTTTTATTCAAGTCTATGCATTCGCGATACAACTGGATTTTACCATTCAAGTGGACGATTTTGAGAAAGAATCAAATCCAGCAATCCTTATATTCGCATATTCTTTCAACAAATCAAATGAAGTAAAAGAATGAGGTGACAATTCAACTTCAATGTCTTCTCCAGCATTTTCCAGTCCCGCATTTCTGTTAGTTAGGCGTGGTACCACCTATCACACAGCAATTTTTTTAGTTGCTGTTACATAAATGCTTAACATTTTACAAGTCGAATTTCAGCACAGTTTATGTTCGAGACTGAGTTATTACACTGTGTGAAGACATGTTACAGCTAATTACATGAATCCAATCAAAAGTACCAGAAATCAGGGGTATGAAACAAAAGGATCAGCGCCATTGTTTATTCAGCTAGTCCTTGATATAAGGACCTACTAACCTGGCCACCAAAAAGAAAGGACCAACCAACTTTTTGGGGAACAGAAGTTCATGAACCTCAATAACAAATTCCATTTTTAGGAGTTTTCATCAGTTGAAAAAAATGTGAAAGCAGTCGAAAAAGTCTAGAGAAAGAGTTTCTTTGGTCAAATGCAGTTCTACATTACTCCTTGTTGGGTTTATGGACACCAAATGACAGAAAAATTTAAACATATCAACCTAAAGAATTTCTCTCTTCTTTCTAATTTCTCCCTCTTCATCTCACTTAATATGCACGCATAAGTGACAAAACCTTGTAATGTTTTGACTCAAACAAACAAAGAATTACAAGGCACAAACCTTATGCAATTGCAAGATGTTTTTACGGTGACAAGCTTTTCTACTAACAGATTAAGAAAAGGAACAAAAAATGTCGAAGCAGTCGAGAAAGTCTGGAGAAAGAGTTTCTTTGGTCAAATGCAGTTCTACGATCCTTGTTGGGTTTATGAACACCAAACAACAACAAAAATTTAAACATATCAACCTAAAGAATATCTCTCTTCTTTCTAATTTTTCCCTCTTCGTCTCTTTTAACATGTGCACATTAAGTGACATAACCTTGTAATGTTTTGACTCAAACAAACAAAGAATTAGAAGGCACAAACCTCATGCAATGGCAAGATGTTTTTATGGCGATAAGGTTTTCTACCAACAGATTAAGAAAAGGAACAGAAAAAGAAGCCTTACCTTTTCTGGATTCTCAAAGGAGTTCTCATCCATCACATTATCAGATCTAAGTACAGTCTCTGTTAATCCAGACAACCGTGCTACATTTGGATCCATTCCATCTACATAAATTCTGAGAGTCACTGCATTGCTCCCAAAGTTTACAATCTGCAAGTAATGTTTGTTTGAGAGTCAGAACTGTGACATGGGAAACAATTGATAGACAACCAAAGCAGATGAAGAAATAAAATATCTAGATATTCCGACTACTGTAGTGCAAGAAAGCAACTTTCAGCACTCCTAGTGTAAATTAAATGCATATCAGAAAGACTATATAAATTATCAGAGCCTAATGGCCTATAGCTAAACCAATAAGAAAAACCTTTATTCTTATGTATTTTTTGTCAGCCTTTTCATCTTGCCAAGAAATTGCAGAGGCAATAAGTGAAGTGGAGTCTATCTGAAGTGTTGAATTGAGAAGAGTTGCTCCACTTGACTCTGCAAAAAATTGTTGTACCCAGTAGCTAGGGGTTCCATATTGCCGATAGGAGTCAAAGACAATTGCATCTGGGTTCCACCTTTAGGACAAAAGGTTTGGCAAGTCAGAGTAACCCATTAATAGGAACGATATCACTTTCTTACCAACCACAAAAAATAAACTAGTAAAATACCGCCTGTCATTGACATTCACAAAAAGAGGTGCATAGCTTGTCATCTCAACAAGATCACTGCAGGATAAACAGCCCTCATTAGCTTGTGATCTTTATAATTGAAGATTATACATAATAAGGAGCAACCTGAGTTTTTTAGGTAGAAGTTTTTCTTACATACCCCCCAAATTTAAGGGGGATCTGCACAGATGCAGACACAATAGCAATTTTTTTTAAAAAAATAGACACAATAGCTTAATTTATAAAATGGATATTTTTGTGAAAACAAACCAAACCTATTCTTTTCAAGCCCAATAAGGAATCCTGCTTCAGCAAGTGCTGCTAAAAGGCTTCCAGTGCCAGCATCTTTTCCGGTCACAGCATATTCACTAACAAAAGCCTGCAATGTATTGGAAAAAGAAGAATATCCAGAAGTAATTGGCACAAATAAATTCCATAGCTTGGGCTAGTAGAGAATCCCATGACCATACCTTTGGACCATTGCGAGATGCATGATCGAATTTATGAGACATAGAGAACAAGTTGCTTGAAGATGTATAAACCTGGTTAAGGAATCAGAAAATAGGAAAAAGGTTGTTTCCATTACCTTATCAATGATTAAATACATTAAAGTTTTACCAAGCGAAGAAAGTAATATGATAAAGTGAAAAGCTAGGCAAAGATGATTTACATGAAAATCATAGTAATCAGTTGGGTGGTCCAATTGACGAGAAGAGCCATCACAATTCGATATTATTTTGATGTCTGGAAAGGCTCGTTTTATAGCATAATAGAACCTGAGGTAGTTTCCTGGCCAATAAAGAACAATAAACATATGAATTTTCAAATCGTTTCATATTTACAATAATTGTAAAACATTTGCAGAATATCTGAACAAGATTGCTTCAAAGAGAAACTAGCTTGCCACTAGAGGCCAAAGTTAGCTATTTCATGACACCCAAACTAATGATAACACATTTACTTGGGCACTCAAGTTGCAAGAATACTAAGTTCCAGAAAAACAAGGACAAAATTTATATGAACCATTGATGGAGATTGGAGAAAATGAGGGCAGACACCATTCCACTCACTCCACAAATATATTTAAGAAAACAGATTTCATTTACATGCAACCTTTATCATAAAAAAGGTTAGCTACATCTTGGCTCAAAGTTCAAACCTTTCCCTGAAGCTCAAAGCCTTAAAACCCAACCTATCACTGATGAATGAAAAAGGCCCCTGCCATGCATATAATGTTATCAAGATATTTAGGTTTTATTGTTCAGCAGGAAAAAAAAAACATCCAGGTTCCATTTAGTAGCCTTATGATGCCATTTCTGTCAAAAACAAACCACAAAAATTTCCATATGAAATTTCAGTAGCTGCTGTTATAATTTACTAACAGGACTAAAAGCTTAAGAATATATTTACAATCTTTTTGTTTCTTGTTTGATCGTTTAAGGGAATAGGTCAAGATATCTTTTATGTCAATTTTCTAAGATGGACATTACCACGACAATCAAGCAATAAAACAAGATGTCTTTCCACTAAGGATTTGACATATGATTGAGGAGTTGGCCACAGAGTAGCAGCCAAGATGATGATAGGAAGAAAAAGAAAATCATCAGAACATGAACCAGACAGAGAGTAACCATTTGACTATATGCCTACAAAGTCAAAAGGGTATACAAACCTCTGTAATTCTTTTTCCAACAATCCTCATTCCCCAGTGCAACAAATCTCAAGTCAAAAGGTTCTGGATGTCCCATTGCAGCTCGAACAGAACCCCATCTAGAATCAGGATCACCTCTAGCAAACTCGATACTGTCAAGGGCTTCCTGCAATGAAGACAATCCTTGCTACAAGATGGCATAAAGTAGCTACTACTACCCTCTGGCATTTTGTTGTAAGGCTAAAACTTGTATGGCACGATAAGATTAAACATGTTATCTCACGCAAGTGGCTCTAATTTTCAGGTACTCTTATCTGGATTATGAAATTTAATAGTAATTAACAGGATCGTCAAATTTTAAAGAGTACATAGAAATTAAAAATGTCTTTATACCAAAAAGTATATCATATCTCAATTTCTTCTCTTATAATTTAATCTAAATAAATTTTTTAAAGAAAAAAAAAAGAGCAATATGCAATTGAAAATTTGGGGAAAAACAGATAATGGCTATACATCAACATTATCTCTCTCTATAACTGATGCCAGGTATTTCTGATTTTTTTTTTTAAAAAAAAAGCTTATTCCTATCAATCTTGGAGTTTAGATTTCCATCATGTTTCGTTCAAAAAAAGATAAAAAAAGAATCATTATGCAGTACCAGATTTGCTTGAACCAAAACTTAACATCATTTCATACCATCATAAAATTTTTTAACCAATATCCACACCCATATAAACCAAAAAAAAAAACAATGTATGCCTACTTGCACAAAAGGTAAGACAGTGGACGTATCAACTTGATCATTATGGCTGATCCCTGTAACAATAACAGCAAAGAAATGCAAATCAACCTCAAGTGCTAAAAGAAACTGAGAAACATGAAAAAAGGAGAAGGAAGCCCAAAATACCATTGTTGAACACCCAAATTGGTAATGCACCAAGGTCTTCTGCTAGCTGCACCAACAACTAATGTAACTTCACACTTATCTAAGGAACATAACTTGGACATCTCAACATTTTAGAAGATACCCACTTGAAGAAACTCGAAGTAACCTAGCCCATCATCAGTCCAATAATTCCAAACATCGCCAAAGTGCCCAGGTCTCTCTTCCCAAGGTCCAATGCTTTCTTTCCAACGAAAAGCATTTCTTAACCATTCTCCCTCAACAAAACAGCCACCTAATCAAATATAATAAAAGAAAAAGAAAACAAAAATCATTCTGAGAATTCAAAATTTCCGGAGCACATAAAACCAGAGTTAAAATGGGTGTTGGCGAGGGGGGGGGGGGGAGAGAAGAGAGGGAGGGGAGAGGAAGATAATGCAGTGGATTTAAGAAATTCATGCATTAATTGCAGCAAGAAGACTTATTGCAATGGTTGAATGATGAATAAAAACAATGCTTCTCTCAAAAAAGATTTAAAAAAGAATAGAATCTTAGATGCTATCCAGCAACTCCCATCTAGTTACAAGTGCATTTTTAATACATCTCAAAGTTCCACTCTAGAGTCAAGTCACTAGCTCCTGCCCGCACATGCATACACAAAAATAAGCAAAGGATAAATTCTCAGCATTCTATACCAGTGACTACGATTCTTATCAAAAGAAGCATAATTCTTGAGACCATATACAAAAAATTTACAATTACTTTGACCCATAGCCCAGAAGTAAAGACTTCTCAAAAACATGATAATAGCATAAAGCCTATTGGACAAAACCCCAGCTAATACAGGTGGGAAAAAAATGTCTCGCATACATTGCATAACTGCAAAGAACTCCTTTTATTTGAATGACCTATTGCTTGTGCGAAACAATAAACCATCATATCTCACTACCAGAGCATTAACATAACAAAAGTAAATCCAAGTATTCCAGTAAGGTAAATGAACCTAAGAACTGTGAACATAAAAATCTATACCTGGAAATCTAATAAATCGAGGCTTTATATCTAAAAGCATTTCAACAAGATCGCTTCGGAAACCATGCCCCTGTACCAAAACAAAGGCAATATAAAGAATTGATCAGATGTAGTGACTCGTACCTGATATTGATGGTCCAGTATATGAAAGACCTTAGTATTAAGACATAAGGTCCTCTAAAAATTGGCATAGCTATCCTAGGGGGTGTTGGGTCCTTGAGATTATAGATCCTACCAAAACTGACTTAATAATATCATGTGAATTTGTAGCTATTTTGCATTTGTCACAACTTACTCATTGTAACATTGTCACAATCCTGTTGGTATTTAAATATAGGAATTTTAGGTTCTGTACATACGAAAAACAATCATGACTAGTATGCTCTCCAGCTGTAGTATATTAAGAAATTGTTTCTAGCATAAAAATAGGCCAAAAGCCTAAATCCGCCCTCAAACTTTTCAGAAACATTTAAATAAGCCTTTGATAAAATTTGTGCGCAATTAACTCAGCCTTAACTCTCACTTAACCAAACAGGGTGTCAAACATTCCCCACCATTACCCTGTGCGCACATCACTGCTGACATGACCACATGCACAGAAACTGTTAATAAGAAAAACTGACTGGCATCAGCGAAACCAGAGTTTAGGTTTCAGGATCTGTTGGGTTTTCTGTGTCTTTCAAGATATGCTCGGGTTTTCAGCTTCTGGAAATGAAGTCCATAGTTGGAATCCACAGAGCCCAGGGTTTTCAATAAATGTAGTATGTACCTGGTTTAACAGCTATCCAGACTAACTGGTGAGATTATTGTGACTGAGATCCAATCTCACAAAGATAGAGAAGTGATCATACAATGGCAGAGTCTCGCTTTAGAAACTGCGGTATGACAGATTAACGATCCTGGTCAGACTTTCCAGCTTAGTAAGCAACTCCGGGAGAGACCCATTAAGTACATTTGAGGAGAGATCAAAGTGGTAAGCTTTTTAAGGGCACTGATTTGAGCAGGGACTGGAACAGAGGAGAGTAGCAAGCGAGATCAAGAGAGAGTAGGTTGGTTGCATTGAAGAGATGACAAGGAATAGGTTTGGAGAAACTGTTGTGAGTGAGACTGGGTATACTCAGCGAGTCAAGCAGGCTGACATCGGGAGGGAAGTAACCCATTAAGCCCTTGTTGGGGAGGGAGAGGGAGGTTACTCGATCATGGTGCAAGCAATTCCGACATAGTGATACAGGATGGAATCATTCTCAGATCACAACTCAAGTTAGCAGAACATTCGGCGCCATTAAGTGGACCACCAATCTCGGACCACAACTAGCCCGAGAGAAGCAACTCAATGCAGGTCAGTTTTCTTTTTTCATATTGTGCACGTGTGGTCATGTCACCAACCACGTATGAACAGGAGTATAACAGTGAACACTCAGTTATGCAAAGTTCAAAAGCTCAGAGCTCAAGTCCACACAAATTTTCTCGGATTACTTAATTAAACATTTCCAAAAAGTTTGAAGATGGATTTTGACCATAAAATTATGTCATCTTATAACCCAGAATCTCATTCCACCAAGATCAAACCTTGTACGTGTCCAAAGGCATGGCTGATACTTGATCAAGCCATATTACCCCCTTTCTTGCTGTTGTCAACTGAAGTCTTGAATGAGGATCTGTTCCCTTGGCCTCCAACAAAAGCTCCTTCTTTGTCCAGTTTGAAACATCGGAACTAGAAGCTCTACAAGAACAAGAAATCAACTCTGCATTAATTGAAAGGATTTCGCATTGGCATTTGCCAGTATAATCATTCACAAGATATGCAAAGGCAATAAAACATTAATTTTGGTTCTTACATTACGTTAGAGGAAGCAAGTGTCCGTGACCCATTTGAGCTTGTCAAGGATACAGACAAATCAATGGCTCCCGGGGAACGCACATAAAGTACAACTTTATACTTCTTGCCTTGTTCAATATTCTGACACAAAAAAAGGAAGGATAGAAACTAATCTGAAGGAGGCAGAAACAGATAAAAGAAGAGAAGTTTAAAGATCTATAAACAGTTAACCATGTCAGATATTATCTTAGCTTTTCAATCTCTGCATCAGAAAGGAAAAAGGGAAAAAGGAAAACAATAGATTTATAAACTAATATCCTTTAGTATTGGTGACTAGTAGTTCTCACCATGCCCCAGAAACCTGGGTTATAAACACCAACTCCCCCAGATGGACAGATGTTAGCACCTCTGCTGTCACATAGCACTTCCATCCGTAAAGCAACCTTATTGCGCTCAAAACATGATGAGCGTTCTGTTGATACAGTTACGGATGACTCGTCTCCAATAATTGACCAAGGATCAATGTTAGAGGGAGTGTTAGGGCCCCCTGCTTCAAATCCTGATATGAAAACGATATAAGAATCACAAGCCAGAAACCAACCAGAGACTTTAATGCCTTGATAACTATTTAAACATTTTAACTATCCGCGTATGTCATTCCCTTTGGTCTCTCAGATACTGAAATCTAAGAAACTGACCTCTATTGCTTACTAGCTCATCCCATAGCCCACCAGCCCCGGCATGATTGATCTCCTGCAGCAAAGGCATTCAAACAATGAAATACCCACAAAAATTATCTTCAGGTGTATAATTATGCACATGGGTAGGTAAAAAATAACTCCGTACAAGGAAGTTAAAAATTTTTAAACAAGCTTAGTCAAACAATTAACTTTTTCTTCAGTGACACATGGTAGTAAATCCCAGCAATCAAGAATCAGCATAATTAGTTTGGCACCCAAAAAAGAGATACCTATATGACCGATTCATTTAGCTTTGTTTTTAACTTTTGATCCTTGTTTATCTTTTTGTAAGAATATTTACCTGAATTTGAGCACAGTTTTTGAGTATTAAACCACAACCAATCGCAAAAGCCAGAAAACAACGGAAGCCCATTTTTGGAGTTACAGTAAGAAAATTTAAACTTCAAGTCAATGGACCTCAAAGAATATTCCGAATAGAGTTTCAGGCATGGGGCGGCTCGCTCCCTGAGAGGCATCTACGATCAGCCGTGCAGTAACGTTCGCTCCAACTTCTAAGGCAAAACACTGATACACGCAACAAGCCCCGAGGAAGAAGCAAAGAAAAGAAGAGAAGCTAGAAGCTGCCTTGCACGAACTCATTGTTACTTCACCGCATAGAAATTTCGCATAATCTGCCCAAAGCATTTATAAGCAGTGAGCAAACCTTATTTGGAAAGCTGACAAGGCCGATAAAGAGAACGAAAAGAGAAAATTGCTAATTCCATGGCATTTCCATCGGATCGGAAAAAGAGCAAAAGAGGAAAATTAGATATAAAGAAGAAACAGCCACGTGGTGTATCATGTCACCATCATCATCATTTGGAGTCAATTAGGAGGCACTAGTCGACAAACTGAATATATGAATAGCAATATGATGAGCAAAAAACCCAAAAATGTCGAGAAAATCAAAACAGAAAGTGAAGAGATTCAGTCACTGAAACAAACCTAGATAAAGAAAGGAGTAAATTAAACAGAAATTAAAAAAGAGTAGTAAACAAAGATTATCAAATTGAAGAAATAAAACCAAGAAACATTACAGAGATGAGGAAATTTCATGGCAGCAAAACTGGTGCGGGGTTAATTTTGGTTTTGAAATGGTCAGAGTAGAGTGTGCGAGTGAGAGATAAGTAGACGGCCATGGAAGGGGTTGCTTGAAGACCGATTTGCCTTGGCTTTCACGTCAGCAAAGTGAGCCGGTGGTGGTGGATTGCAAGCGACAAAGTGTGCAATTCTAAGCTTGCCTTGTGGGGTCCCAGTCGGATTATAAGAGCACTGTGCGGGCCCACGGTTATCCTAAAAGAGTAATGCGAACCGGATAAGGCACTCGTTATTATTATTCTCTTCCAGAATAATTAAGGTTATATTTAGACTTTAAACAAAATTAATATATTTTTAAAAAAATATATTTACTAATTAAATAATATACATAAATTCTCAAAAAATATATATGTATAATTTTAAAATAACAATATGTATAAAAAATATATATACAGACTCAGTAGAGATTTCTGAGATAAAGATTTCTTATTAATAAAGAACTATATTAATTATTAAATTACACATTAATTGATAATTAATTATTAATAACTCTCCTTAATTTGTAAAATCCCACACATGTTTGCTTCCTTAAATGTAAATGTAATAATTAATTAATAAGATACCTTTTATGCATGTTTGTAACAAAACCAATAATGGTAATTGCATTTTTACATCAAGATATACCCCAGAAAAATTGCTTTTAGATAATTTAACGAGCCAAAAGTTTAATAATTTCAAAACAATGAAATCCATATTAAAAAGAAACATTTAAATTATTCATAATGTTTGTTTTCATTGCATTATCCTTTTACTGTAATTTACTAGACACAGTAATCTTTATAATTTGTATTAATTATATTTTTTATAAATTTTTTTTAATTATTATAACATATGGGTTTCTTTTTTTAAAATTTAAAATTTTAACTTGTTCAGAGAACACTCAATTTTAGTAAATTAATATGAGAAAGGAAAATAGAAGACTATTTTCTTAATTTAACAACTAAATGATAGATTGTTTGTTTTTATCTAGTTTTGTTTATTTCAACTAAATAAATTTATCTGTTCCAGAATCATAATCACAATAATCGATGGGTTAAAACTAAATTTGATCATTGCAACTCTATCAACATGTTAACAACCTAAATTTTTGATTCATTGCTCATATATAATGATTCGTTGATGATCGTGCTATAATCCAACTATAAAGTACACAAATTATATGTTCATAATAATTTTTAAACTGGATTATCGTCTTCAAGTACAAGAACAGAGAAAACTAATATTTAAGTGCATTTGATTCTCATATATTGTTTGTTTATAAGCGAAATCCTACGTATAAGATTTTGAACTAAAATTAAAATCATAATCTTACTTTTATTCTGTACATAAAATATACATTAGTGAAGTTATGCAGTTTATCAAAAGAATGTGATATGCAAAAAGAGAGAGCAAGACACACTAAATTACATGAGATCCTATAATCAAAATATAACTCAAAGTCACATGGGAGATTACATAAGCTTGAGACCTCATGGTCATAAAGGAAATCATGGTTACATGAGCTTAAAAGGATATGGTTGCATTAGAAGAAATTAACACATAACTAAAGATAGAGTTCACGGCCACATAAAAGATTACAATGAAGCTCACAACTTCATGGAAGAAAACAAGGAAACTCGTGGCTTCATGAAAGAAAACAATGAAGCTCACGACCTTATGAGTTTAAAAGGCCATTAATTAGGCTTCATGTTTGAAGAAAGTCACGGTAAGGTTCAATTCAAGAAAGATCCTCGTGGTATAACCATTTAAATGAGATTAAAAATCCACTTCAAGTCAAGCAAAGTCCATACAAGGAAAAACTAATGAAGAATCTAATTCAAGATGCATTTGGAACTTATGTATGAAGTATCACAAGAACATGTGATACGGAACACATGATCAACAAGGCAATTCAAAACTCACACAATTTTAATTAGCACAAAAAAAACTTAATCCCTATTTAAACTCTTCTTAGTTAGCACACTATCAATAAATGATAGGAATTAAGATAATTAAGAAATTAAAAAATTGAAAAAACGCCATAAGATTACCTTAATAAGTTGAATCAATTCTTCGCTCAATGAGAATGATAAAGAGCAACTCACTTGTTGAAAGGTAAAAAATTTATAATTTTATTATTTTGAAACATTATGATTACAATCATGAATTGAATATCTATTTATACTTGTAGATTTTGTGAAAAATAACGAAATAAATCTCATAAATTAATTGTAATAAATTACATATAAAATCAAATCAAAACTATAACAGAAATAAAATTATAATTAGGAAGACTATAACCATAATAGTGTAGATATATTATCCATTTATAGAAACCTCTTAAATGGTGGAGATATTATTAATTGTTGAGGTATCTTCTTTTAAAGGCTTGAGATTTAGTTTTTTCTTTTTTTGAAATATTGTGATTGATTTATGAAGATCTTGATATTAATTTTTGATTCTCCATTGAATGAGTGTTCTTACTTATAGTTTATGAAGATTATGGAGAAGAAAAAAAAAATAAAATTCCCACTTGTGAAAGAATCCTTCTCAGGTTAGAAAGGTTTTTCACGCATCGAAAGATTTTCTTTCCTATTTCCCACAAGTCCTTTTACTTGGAGTAAGCTGCATTTCCCTTATTGGCCTTGGTTAAATAGGATTGCTTTCATCCTCTTATGGGCTTTCACTTTTGGGTCAAGGCTCTCTTCTTTATGTATCCATCATTTAACATAGATTTAATAGTTTTCTTTGAATTTATTGGTCTATGTTCTCGTGCTTGGTCCATTTGTCTTTAAGATACTTTTTTCATGTAGCCCAAGTTCATTATGTGATGTGTTCAAACCTTTCTCTATACATGTTTTATTACTTTGAGCTTCCTATAGACGGGCTTGGTTGGTAAGAGTTATCTTTGGACAGCCCAAACCATGACCTCCTAAACTTGATTGGTTTATTGAATAGTTCAAGTCGTCCATGCTCACATCATCTCCTCATTTCTCGAGAATGATTTGTCCTCGAATCAATAACTTTTTATGTATGAATGTTTCTAGCTCTGCTTTATTCCGACGAATACCATATAAAATAACCACTAGACAAGAAAGATTTAAGGTTAGATAAACATTACGTTATCTTTTCTCCAACAAATGGGTCATCATCAACTTTATTCTTTCATGAAACATTAATTTTTTTTCTCCCTTGGCATTATTTCCTCTTTCCCCACGACATCAATCCTCTATTCTCCCATAATATTTTTTCTCTGTTTCTTTTGCAACATTAGTCTCCTTTTCTCATGCGATATTTTTTTCATTTTCTCCCGTGATGCTAGCCTCTATTTTTCCTGCAACATTATTCTTTTTTTCTCCTGCATATTCTTTTCTCTCATCTAGTGATTTATGGATCCTTAGTTGATATTTGAATGCTTCTTCGGGTAATAATGAGATAATGGTATGCTTTCGACTATTCAAGCTGAATAAATAACACTTCTTTAGACCATCATGAATTGTTTACCTTTTTTTTTCATGGTCGTCCAAGTAAGATATTGATAGAAATCAAATCAAAGTAGATTTGAAAGATAATAAATAAATTCATATTGAATCAAAGAGAATAAATACGGAAGCATATCTGAATCCATAGCGAAGAGATCTTCACCTCCAGCGGTAAATCTTCCAAACTTACATGCAACGATAAAAAAACTGATTTTCATTACTGATGGGATAACATGAAATAAACTAAACATATGTGTCATTTGGGGGCCATAACCACTTTTTATATTGTTGATTTTTATCATTTTCTATTTTACCCATCATAAAATGAGAAATTATAAATGTGGTTCTGCATATATTAGAAGCTTATACTTAAGTGCGATGTATTAAGCTTCATAACCGTTTAACCGTAATTGATCACTTTTAAACGTACCCAATAAACTGATAGCATGTTACGCACATCAAGACCTATATTAATCCCATTTGTTGATAAAAAATCCAACAATCTCCCACTTTTTTGTGTCATCTTAATTTGTGCGTTAAACAACTGTAAGAGTAATCAGAACTTTGTTATCAATACCTAAATGCATAACCAAATAATCATGTCTATCGATCATAACGAAAAAGAATTAAAGCAATTTTCGCTACAACTGTCATATCTAAACCTATATGTGGTCACGTATATCAGAATAACCGAATGATATAAATCAATTATAAATGTACAACATGGAAATTACATGTTATATGATCTAAACATGACTACTTTCAACTGGTCCTGCCTTAATCTTAGTGAGATTAACTATAAGAAAACTCAGAGATAAAATATAAACATAAACTAAAATATTATAACTGAAATAAAATATGAAATCCATAAACCAAATTCAAAATACAAAACTTATGACATGTATGCATCATAAAAACAACTATGGTACAAAACTTCCACTGAAATTATACATCATCAAGAGATACTACACCCATACAAGTAATGTGATCATAAAAGAAGTAAGGTGGTAATCCCTTTTTGAATAAATCTAGAACCATGGAGTTCGTGCCGATATGCTTTATTGATATCTGCTTACTCTGAACTCTTTCTTTAATAATTAGAAATTTGATATCTATATGATTTGAGTTTGTCGAGCTCCTATTTTTATTAGAATACATAACTATAAATTTATTGTCACAAAATATCTTTAGTGGTCGTTCTATTCTATCTATAATGCGCAGTTCAGTGACAAAATTATGTAGTCATATTTCATGATTAGACGCCTCATAACATGCTATAAACTCTGCTGTCATGGGTGGAAGAGGCTATGAGTATTTACTTAGCACTCTTCTAGACATGGCTTCCTTAACAAATAAGTAAATATAGTTCAATGTGGACTTTCTACTGTCTTGGCATCCGGCAAAATCAAAATCAGAATAACTAATGATCTCCAATTGATCTGATATCTTGTATGTGAATATATAGTTTTTTGTTCTCTAAAGATACCGCATAACACGTTTGACTGTTTTTCATAATCCATACCTGAATTGCTCAAATATCTCTCTAACATCTCAACAATTTACGCAATATCGAACGCGTACAAACATATGTATACATAAGACTCCCTACGTTTAAAGTATAAGGAATTTTTTGCATATTCTTAGTCTCAAAGTCATTTTTGAGATATTAACTTGGAGTAAACTTACCTCCTTATACACAGGGGTGTCACTTAGTTTACAATCTTGCATGCTAAATCTCTTAAGAATTTTTTTCAATATACCTCTTTTGTAATAATTTAAGAATATTTAATAGCGATCCTAGTGTATCCGAATCCCTAATATAAAAAAGACGTCCTTAAGATCTTTTATCTTCAAATTTCTTTATCAGAAATCTCTTGATTTCGTGCAATAAACCTATATAACTGTTGGTAAGCAGTATGTCATCAATATATAAAACCAAAAAAATATACTTACTCCCATTGAACTTATGATATAATTAATATTCCACTATATTTATCTTAAAACCAAATAAGATGATAATCTGATGGAATTTATGATACTATTGACGAGAAGTCTACTTAAGTCCATAGATGAATTTTTTTATTTTGCAAATCATTTGTTTTGCATCACCTGATACAAATTTTTCTAGTTGCACCATATAAATCATTTTATTAATATTATCATTGAGAAACGTTGTCTTAACATTCATCTGATGCGACTCAAGATCAAAATGTGTCACTAAATGTATTGTAGTCCTGAAACAGTTTTTCGATGAAACCGGAAAAAAAGTTTGTTTATAATTAATACATCCTTTTTGTGTAAAGTGCTTAGTGACAAGACATGTCTTGTACCTCTCCACATCACCCTTTAAATCCCTCTTGGTCTTAAAAATTAATTTGCAACTAATAAGTTTCGCACCTTCAAGTAATAGGATAAAATCCCAAACGTCATTGTCCTTCATGGACTTAATCTCTTTATTAATGGCGTCAATCTATTTTTGAGAGTTAGAACTTTCTATGGGTATGACATCACAAAGAACTTTATCACCATAATACCTGATGATAAAAGAAACTCATACTTGTTTGGATACCTTTACCTCCCAACATTCACTTGATAATTGTAACCAGTAGGGATGAGGATAGGTTGTGCATGTCAAGCCCAACTTGCTATCCATTATAGGACCAGCAGTGTTGGTGTAGATACCTTTATTAATTTATAGGTTACACAATTTCCCTTCTTAAGACAAAAAGTATGGAAGCTGTTTTCTCATATTCCCTTTGGTTGAATTGTTCTACCTCTATGTCATCACATAAATGGGCCTCCTCCACTTAGATTCGCCTTTTAATTCTTAATGAATGGGACGCTTGTTGCATTACTTCCTTAAGATTTCTTAAGTTTTTCACTACTCAATTAAGCTTTCGAAACCTTCTTTGGAGATCTTCTATATAGAACCTAACATCGTTATACAAAGTCATTGTGAAAAATTATAAGGAAAGCTTAACAAACAAAATACCATTTCCACACTTTTTTTTTCTCACTCGTGTTTACACTTACAAGTCTTTTGTCTCTCAATTTTTTCTCCTCATGTTGAATACTATAATTCAACTTTTTTATATCAAGGTAATCAAGGTTTATTTCAGGATACTTCAAAGAATCCTAAGTAAAGAAAATTGCAGATAAACAATCATCGAAGTAATGAGTTCAAAACACATGGATGAAAATGATGTATGTTTATTTATGATACTAAGTAATCAGGATGCAATTAGCTACTTATCAATGTAATGTAATAAAAACACAATGAAAGAAATAAATTTAGAGTGTAATAAGATAATATGGATATGATTTTTTTCATTTTTTTTAGTATGAACAGAAACAATGATAAAATAATAACTAAATATAGCAAGCAAGGAAAAATTAATTGGTTTGCTTATTACTTGATTCTTTTTTTTTTCAATGGATAATAATAAAGATGCAAGAAAAAAAATAAACAAGGATTGTATAGTTTATATCGAGTCTAACCTTTTATACCAATCAATGCGAAATCTAGGATTAACAAGGCAATTTAAAACTCACACAATTTCAATTAATACAAAAACTTAATCTCTAAATAAATTCTTTCTATTTAACTCACTGTCAATAAATGATAAAAACAAAAGTAAACAGAAAAATTAAGAAATTAGAAAAATACCACAATATTACCTTGATAAGTTGAATCAATTCCTTGCTCAATAGAAAGGATAAAAAACACCTCACTCGTTGAAAGTTAAAAACTTTATAATTTTATTATTCTGAAACTTGATGATTAGAACCATGAATTGAATGTCTATTTACAGTTGTAGGTTACCAAAAACTCAAGAAAATAAACCTACTAAATTAATTATAATAAATTATATAGAAAATCAAATTAAAACTAGAATATAAATAAAATTATAATTAGGAAGATTATAACCATAATAGTGTAGATATGTCATTTCTTTGTGAAAACTTTTTAAACGGTGGAGATCTTCATTAATTGTGGAGATTTAGTTTTTTTTTTTTTTTTGGAAGACTGTGATTGATTTAGAAAGATCTTGAAATTAATTACTGATGCTCACTTGAATGAGTGATCTTTCTTGTATTTTTAGTAGGATTATAGAGAAGAAAAAAAAATAAAAATTCTCACTTAGGTGAGAATCCTTCTCGGGTTGGGATTCTTCACGCATGATAATATTTTATTTCCTATTTCCCTTAGTTCCTTATTCTACTTGGAGTAAGTTGCATTTCCCTTATTGCCCTTGGTCGAATGGGCTTGCTTTCATCCTTTTATGGGCTTCCACTTTTGTGTCAAGTCTCTCTTCTTTATAGATCCATCATTTAACATAGATTTTAAAGTCTTCCTTGAATTTATTAGTCCATGTTCTTATGCTTGATCATTTTGTCTTTAATATACTTCTTCCATGTGGCCCAAGTTCATTATGTATGTGTCCAAGCCTTTCTTTAGACATGTTTTGTTGCTTGGAGCTTCTTTTGGATGGGCTTGGCCACTAAGAACTATCTTTGGATAGCCAAAATCGTGACCTCCTAAGTTTGATTGGTTTCTTGAATAGTCAAAGTTGCTCATGCTCACATCAACGTGGGCCAATAAATTTAATGAGGACTTTCAAATTTATGTTGAGGGATAGATCCATGAAGCAGTAAACCTTGAGCCACACTGTGAAGGCCTTGAAATGGAAAAACTCAAGCCCAACAAGTCAAGGGAGATGATGGAAGAGCAAAACTAATTCAAGTATGTGGGAAAATCTCTCCCATTCATGAGAGAATTTCCCATCTATGAGGGATTATTCTCTCAACTAAGAAATTTTTTTTACTCTTTAATGGCCCATCAAAATGGCAACCAACCTCCACAAGATCAAGAAATTCAACAACCAATCAAATGCAAATCCTCTCTAGCCGATCCTATCTTTCCAAAGAAGAAATATCGTCATGTGGAAAATCAAAAGCATTTAATACAAGATTATGAACATATTCTATATGTCTTCTTTACCTCAAGCATGATTGGCCCTAATTTTTCTTATTCAACTCAAAGATCTTCATCAAATCAAGTGGTTTCATCATGGGTTGGATTCCTTAATATCATGAAGGATTCACTACAATTCTTAAGAAAGTAAGAAATCTTCTCATCGTTGAATAGTCTTTAAGATATTTTTCCCTATTTTAATTGCATATCATATTTAATTCAATAATCTTTTCATGAGCAGCCACATCTCAACAAAATCGACAATAAATCTTCTTTAATTCAAGATAGACTATTATATCTCCATTAGTTAGTTCTTATTTTATTTATATGTAATTATTATTTTTGATTTACTTCACTATATAAATATTTATAATTAATTAGGGATATCACTTTCTATTGTATTTCTCACGCCTACAACTATAAATAATCCATAATAATTGATTGTAGATCATTCGAATTTAAAGTCAACAAAATATAAAGTTTTATACATGTTAACTTGTGAGGTTTATCTTCAACCTTTTTGTTGAGTAAGAAATTGATGTTCCTATATTAAGGTAACTTATAATGTTTTCATCAATATATTCTCTTGAATTAATTTTAATTATTTTAATCAATTCGTTTATATTTATTACCTTAATTACAAACACAGGTTGATTGTGAGTAAAAAGAAGAGTTCATTTATGAACAAATTTTGATGTTAATTGTATGTATATATGTAAGTTTTAGATCGTATTATTGATCATGAGTTTTGTATTAGAACGTTAAATACCATCTTATCTAATTTTTATTTTATATAAAATAAAATAATTAAATAAAGACTATAAAATGCATTATCTATATTAAATGATAAATAATTTGTAAATAGTTAAGATGATAATATTTACCCACAGCAGCTCCCGTAACCATATAATTAGATTACATGCATTTATGAAGAAAGCAGATACGTTGTACCAGCTGCTGCGTGATGATTATATAGATTCTTTTCCTTTTCTAATGTTTAATGTTATAAATGACGTTTATAAAATATTATCATAATATTTATTTATTTTTTTCATCTAATTAATTAAACTTTTTATATTATGTATAATTGAATAAAATAAAGTAAATAATTATATATTGACATCCTAATTTCATGTAAATAATAATTTAACTCATGCAAAAAACTTAAATTTGAAAAATGTTTTTTAATATATAAAATAATATTTATATCTATTAAAAATTGTCAAAAAGCTATAAATAGAGGAAGCCGCCGGTTCAGACAATGAGAGCCAAAATACAGACTTGTAGGAAAAAGACGCAAAAATTAGAGTTTGAAATATTGAACAGTAAGCTAGTTGGGGGAGAAAGGAAGATTGAAGAAATTGTCTTGGGCAAAGCAAGAATTCCAATGGTCTGAAGACTGATATTCTCCAAACAGAATATCTGAATTTGAAGGTGAGAAACTTTCGTTTCTTACGATCGCCTTCTTTTTCTTCCCCATTTCGTCGTCTACCCATTTCTCAGCATCTGATAGGTCATTATATGTATGTACATGTTCCTATATATATCTTGATTTTCTTGAACTAATCAATTTTCAGATTTTTTTTTTGTGAAGTCATTTTTCGTATCTTATCTCACGCGGGTCTTGTTTCGAATTAAAGATCTTAACTCCACCATGTTTGATTTATGCTCGCAACGTTTTAGTTATGGAGAATATCAGTTAAAATGCCCTGAAACCCTAACAACGTGTTTGTGGGGTCAGTCTAAATTGGTAGATTTTGGGTTTACTTTTTCCATTTTGAATTGTGTTATTACTTTCGATGCCTCACTCTTTAATTTCCATCTGTGTATCTGCTTGCATGTTGCAGGAATCCTTTTTATTCTTTTTTTTTCTTTTTCCGAAGCCTGCGATTGGATATATTAGATGATTGTGGAAAGCTACTGTTCTTGTTGTGGGAGAAGTAATTCGTTAGATCAACTTTTGTTCGCTGTTTATGTTACAGGAGAGATTAGTGGACGACAGGTGAGAGGAGTTGCTGTTTGTTGACAGCCCCAGTTTATTTTGTGCTTTAAGGTGTTTAATGGAAGAAAACCTAGGCCAAGACTCAACTCCCTCTTCCGGGCAATTTGATAAGTCCAGGGTTTTGAATGTTAGACCATTAAGATGCATTAATCCTATATTTTCATCTCCAAATGCCAGTTCATCTGCCATTCCCCAAGTGGCAGCTCCTTTTGTTTGTGTGTCTCCCACAGGTCCTTTCCCACCGGGGTTGACCCCAATTTACCCTTTTTATGGCTTGCAAGAAACACCCTGTGATGCGCCTAATCAAGCTGAGCCTTTCGGTTATAGCCCTCCGATTTCAAATGCAGTTCCTCTAAATGCTTTTCAAACTCCCTCATATTCAACACCAGGAACATGTAAGAGGAATACTAGAAAACAGTTTGTTGGTGGGGCTGCTGGAGAAGATGAAGATGGCTATGATGACGAAAGGCCAAAGAAGAAGTCACAGAGGAAGAGTAGGGGACGCCAAGAATCCACTCTTGTCTCGACCGAGGTTGATCTAGATACAATAGTTGAAAACATTCTTGCATCATCTAATATCATGTCATTTGATTCAGTTCGAGATGCAGACGGGGACAAGGAATCTGTAGGATATGCACTGCTGATATATGATTCGCTGCGAAGGAAAATAACACAAATTGAAGAAGCAAAGGTCTTAACTCCAGGGTTTGCAAGACGACCTGATTTAAAAGCTGGTACAGTCTTGTTGAATAAGGGGATTCGGACAAATGTGAAAAAGAGAATTGGGGCTGTACCTGGTGTTGAAGTTGGCGATATTTTCTTTTTCAGGATGGAATTGTGCTTGGTTGGTTTGCATGCTCCGTCTATGGCTGGGATTGATTATATTGGTGTCAAGACCAGTCAAGAAGAAGAGCCTTTGGCCGTTAGCATTGTTTCATCGGGTGGTTACGAGGATAACGTGGAAGATGGGGATGTCCTGATTTACAGTGGACAAGGTGGGAACATTAATAGTAGAGATAAGGAAGTAATGGATCAGAAACTGGAGAGGGGAAACCTAGCTCTGGACAAAAGCTCCCGTCGAGGTAATGAGATAAGAGTTATACGAGGTATAAAGGATCTCGCAAATCCAACTGGGAAGATTTATGTCTATGATGGGCTCTATAAAATCGAGGAGTCATGGACTGAGAAGGGGAAGTCTGGTTGCAACGTTTTCAAGCATAAGCTGATTAGGATACCTGGCCAGCCTGAAGCATTCATGATGTGGAAATCGATAATGCAATGGAGAGAGGGAACTGCCTCTAGAACTGGACTTATCTTACCAGATCTAACCTCAGGTGTAGAAAGCATACCGGTTTCTCTTGTAAATGATGTTGATGATGAGAAGTGGCCTGCACATTTCACTTACTCATGTAGTATCAAATATCCAGAATCTATAAATTCACTGGAAAATTATGCTGGTTGTACTTGCCAAGGCGGATGTCTCCCTAATAATCCTAAATGTCTATGTACCCAAAGAAACAGAGGCTCTCTTCCCTACATTTTAAATGGGGTAATTGTGAGCCAAAAATCATTGATATACGAATGTGGCTCTTCCTGCAAATGTCCTCGTACTTGCAGGAACCGTGTGTCTCAAGGGGGTTTAAAAGTTCGTTTTGAGGTTTTCAAAACTAAGGATAAAGGTTGGGCCCTTAGATCTTGGGATCCCATCCGTGGAGGAGCATTCATATGTGAATATGCCGGGGTAGTTCTTGATATTTCTAAAGTGGAAGAGAACAAAATATGTGAAGATGAGTACATTTTCGATGCTACCCGTACTTACCAGCCAGTAGGTATTCTGGCTGGTGACTCTAATGAGACCCCAAAGATTCCATTTCCATTGCTTATTAGTGCTAAAGGTGATGGTAATGTGGCTCGTTTCATGAATCACAGTTGCTCCCCTAACGTTTTCTGGCAGCCTGTTGTGCGTGAAAGTAACAAGGAGTTTCGTGTTCACGTTGTGTTTCATGCTATCAGACACATTCCTCCAATGACAGAGTTGACTTATAATTATGGCGTGGTGCCACCAGAGAAAACAGAGCAAATGAAGAAAAAGTGCAACTGTGAGTCACCAAAATGCGGAGGTTACTTTTATTAGTGTTGATTCGGAGGCAAGTGCATATGATGACCTCTTCTAACTCATGCTTTCTATAAAGGTCAGAGTTTTCTACCTTCCTAATTCTGTCTCTTAATTACCCAGCTGGTTATTTTGCTTTATATGGACTTTTACTGCAAAGACTATCAAAACACAATGATATGCTAGATTTTACGAGGGTATCTCAAGGAACTTTAGAATAGTATGTCCGAAGCACACAAAATGGTCATATTAACCATTTTTTTCCTTTATTTTTTTGACCCAATTATGCCTCCATACTGTCTGCTACAGATAGTATGTCCGAAGAGTTATTGTCCTAAAGTAATGTTGTAATTTTGTAGTTTCCGTTCTTGGGGAACTGGGAACTGGGAACTGGTTTGGAAGTTATAAAGATGCGACTTATAGCAATCTGTGGAAGTTGCATTATGCTACTTTGCATGCAGGTGGCTGGCATTATTCCTGTTATTTTTGTTTCTATGCGAAATCGTTTTATTACGAGTCAATAACTTAATTATCAGTTTGCATGTGCTTATCCAAGTAGGCATGTTCAAGCCATATCTATAATACTGTGCAAGGTTATGATCCTTTTTTCCTCCAAGATCCTTGCTAGGCTCGAGAATGATCAAGGATGAAGTCTTGCCACAAGTATGCGGCTTGTTTAGTTTTAAAGATGCGACTCATTAGCTATATATGGAAGTTGCATCATGCTACTTTGAATGCCGGTGGCTGGCATTGATCCTGTTATTTTGTTTCTATTTAAAATATTTCTATTACGAATCGATGCCTTAATTATCAGTTTGCATATGCCCTACTCAAGTTGGCACGTTCAAGCCATATCTATAATATTATGCCAATAACTTAACTGACAGTAGAACTGACGAAGTAGTTTACAAGTATGCCAATAAGAATTAAAAATGGATACCATATCAATATTACTCGCTACATCCTCATTGTTGACTTCTTACTTGTACGACCATGGAGCAGATGCCTAAGACTCCGAGCTAAATGACACAAGCTACAGGTAGGGTATATAACAATCATCTAGAACAACAAATCTCCAAGAAGTACTATGTGGGAAAAAGCATTAAACCACATGTCCATGCTTGTGATAACAATAAAGGCCTAAAAAGTTAAACTACGTTTATTAATGGCCTAAAAAGTTAAAACTACCTCTGTTTCCGTAGTATGTTCTCATGTTCTCTGTTGTTGTGTCCTATTCCTCAGGTGACTTGTAGCTTAAAAGGAGATAGTACACATGATAGGAGCTGGTGGAGTTCTTGAATGGATGTGTTGTATTGCTGAACAGTGGCCTGCAAGTGTATTTAGATGTACAGGTATGCTAGGGTAAACTTTTGTTTTTTGTTGGCTGAATGTGGATGCGATGAAAATATATTTCTACAGCTTTTTGATGTACTATAGAAGTTTGTGTAATGTAAGTTTTAGGAGTAAGAGGTTATCTGAGTTGGTAGTTTTTGTGAGGCAGGGCTGCATGGTTTCACTTTCCATGCCTCTTTTGCTTAACGTAGATTCTATATGTTTTGGGGAGTGTATTGATCTCTCACTAAATCACCAGTTTGAGATTAGGGGTCTGTGAATACTGACGGTCAAGATTACAGATTCATCTTCCATAATTTGACTCAGACTAAAATTCAACCTCATTGAGGTTCCCCTCGTGATGGTAAAGATTACAGATTACCAAACCTTAATAGACAAAATTTGAAAAGTGTTGTATTATTTGAACTAAATTTTTGTACACAAGTATTATAGTATCATCTGGATTAGATGCTATAAGTTAAACATGTAAATATAGTTATTGGATATGTGGGATTTTTGGAAATATATACAAGTATAAAATATGTATAAGGTGATTTTTTGTTTTTAAAAAAGAAACAGTGATTTATTATTTCTGCCTTTTTTTTTATTTTTTTTTTAGTTTTGCACTTACCATGTTTAGCATATAAATAAATAAACTATATATTTCTCTTATTATGTTAAATAGTTTGTTCTATATAATTAAAAAAAAATGTAATTTCACCTTCACTAAATATGAAAATTGATAACCATTTATGTAATTATTTTTTCAGACACTGAATTTTATATTAGAATCTATTGAGAATCTACTGCGATAATGTATGAGCAATAAATTATTTTTTTTTTAAATTTAATATTTGTTACAATTTAATTATTATTTTTTTTTTAGTAATTCATTTTCTAATAAAAAAAGTTAAAATAACTAGAGTTGCATTTGAATGTTTTTTTATAAAAAAAATAGCATTAAAAATTATTTTAATTAATTAATAGGCTAATAAATTGGTAATATTATTATATTTATTTTTATTATTTTTAAATTTATTAATTAGTCAATGTTATTTTTTTATGTAAAGAATTTAAGTAAAATTTTTAATTTTTAATTTTTTTTTGTTCGTACATAAAAAATTAAATATTTAAAATAAATAAAAAATACTAAATATCAAATTATAATAAATACTACATTTTTAGAAGTAAATTTAATAATTTATTATATTTTTTATGTATATTTATTAATCTTTTAAGACATTGTGGCAACTAAAAAATACTTTAAAAAAAAAAGATTACAATTGCCCAAAAAGAGAGCTTGTGCCCATTTGTAAGATAAAATGTATTGTAAATAAATTCAATTTTTTAGGATCAATCTCAGTTGTATAAAGCAATGACTTTGTTTCTTATTCACATGTATCTTTGAACCTTTTTGCAAATTGACACGTGTCTACTAATTAATTCTTAATGTAATGCCCAAATTAATTTCTTATGTAATTTAAATTAATTTATAAATATAATTTTTAAAATTTTTTAATTTTAATTTAGTGTAAAAATGAAATAAGTTTGAAGGAATATGAAATTAAAAATAATTTAGAAAAAATATGTGAAAATTTGGGATCTGAAAGTATTTTTGAAAGAAAAATCAGAAATTGATGGGTCAAAATATAATTTAAGAAAGTTGTACCACGTAGGATGCCCGGTCAGCAGCTCCGACAAATTAGAACGCGCCGCGTGGCAACGGACGCTAATGCGGTGCCACGCAAGAGGCCACGCGGGCGATCCACGTGCCCACGATTGGACAACCCATATCCGCTTTCATGTGCATGGACGGCCCAGATGCGTGCACTCTCTCGACGCGATCGGACGGTCCAGATCTACTTCCTATTTAATCGTGATTGGACGGTTCAGAACAAACGCGATGGACGGCCTTGATTAAAAGAAGACGGGTTTAAATAACCTTCTTCACATCAAATTCTAACCCTAGCCGTCAGACACTCTCGCCGAAGAAGAAGACCCAGCCGCCGCCACCTGCCGCCACGCCGGAGGCACTTCCAACCGCCAAAAAAGGTAAAAACTTCTCCATTTGCTCGGAATTCAATTTTGAACACCTTTATGGCCAAATAGGAGCCAAAGGACCAGCGGGCTGACCAAAAATTGCGGGCAAAGTCCAGCGGCGCCACCGCAGAAAATTTCAAAAATTGTCTCCGATGAGGCCCTTCCCGATTTCCATTATGCGAAATTTTTTTACAATTGTGATCACCGTTTTCTTCTCTACATGTTGATCGAAGCAAAATACCCAACCGTAAAAGTTAGATGGTGGAGCCGCCGCACCAGGGAGCCCCACCATCGGTGAGTTTCAATTTTTTTTTTCGGCCAACCGAGACCCATTAACGTGTTTCTCAGAGGGATTAATGCAAAACTGGCCGAAAATAGCCAATCCAAGCAAGCCGTCGTGGGAACATGGTGGAGCAGCAGTGCCGGAATTCCAAAATTGGCCAAAAAGAGGTCCTGACACAGTTTTTGGATTTTTTGTGATATTTATAGGTACTTGTAGTGCGTTTTAATCCCCCAAAAAAATTTAGTGAATCCGGAGATCAATGGTAGGCGCAATCAACAAGTTTTATTTTTCGGACATTGAATTGAGTAAGAATTTTTTATCATATTATCTGATATAGAATTGAAGTCAAATTAACAATAATACAGTATTTTGTACAATTTAAAAAATATCCATAATTAATTACGGGTTACTAATGGAACCAGAACCAGAAATTATCTACTGTTGTTTCTGTTGATTATTTTTACGGTTTGAATGCATGATAGTATTTGATTAATCGATTTCATAGCTTTAAATGTATGTATTGGTTGTTTTATATATTTACGATTAAATTAAAAAAAATAGAGATTAAAGAAAAATGAAAAATTGTATGACTAAGTGAATGAATAAAACGACAGCTTTACTGGATATACTGGGAGTTGGTAGACAGACCGGGTATATAGAAAACCCTACCGCGAACGTTACTTCATACCGGACGGGATATCAAGTTTTAATAATTTGGTACTCATACCGGACGGAGTATGAGAAAGGCCCGTTTCACCCTCATAATGGACGGAATATTGAGGTTTAATAGTTTGGCATTCATATGGGACGAAGTATGAGAACGACCCGTTAATTTGAAATATTAAAGGAAAGGATTCACGCGTTGTAGGGACATCCCTATGAACCCACATGGATACCAGTAGCCTGATAAAAAGATAAAATTGTTGTTCAAATCGATTACATATGAAATCATGATCTGTGTTATGTTATTATCTCTATAAGTTGTTTTGTAAATTTTACTACGGTAAGTAGATGGTAAAAAATTTTATTTAAGATAAATGAATTTGTTTAATTAAGAGATTCATTAGTTATTTTTTATTTTTCTACCAACATTTATTTTTGTGTCGATGAGTAGCATGATATTCTTACTATACTAATGTAACTCATTCTTTATTTAACAATTTTAAATCAAGAAGAATATGATTTAGAGCTCGATCTATAAGAGGGTTGTGAGTAGAATACTAGTTTTATTTATTTTCTGTTTATTTTTTTAATTTTTGTATTTTTTTAAAAAATGATAACT